CGCGACACATACGAAGTCTGCTGCAGCGCTCGATAGTCCACTGTACGCAGTGTCACGGACAAATTCGGGAGGGCATCTGGGGCACAGATGACACACGTCTGCAACACAGCCAGCAGAGACGCATACGCCGACAGCTCCCACACAGAAAGAAGTTCGGAACTGTACAGGCACGCGGGGGCTGGCGAGTGCTTATGCGTGTGGTGAGGGGTCGGACTTGTGGTATGGGTAGACGTGGCGACTGTGAGTTGAGCTGCGGTTGCGGTTGCGGTTGCGGGTACGGATGTGTTTGCGGTTGCGGTTTGTGGTTTGGACGTGGGTTTGAGGCATTGCAGCTGGGCGAGTTTCTTGATTGAGATCTGTGCGGTGTGGGAGAGAGGGGGGGGGGGGTAAGGCATATGGCAATGATGAGCATACAGGGGCCATCTGTAATAACATAGCGGGAGTCCATGTGGTATTAGTGGCAGCCGTGAGAACCCACAGCCAGGCCAGTCAGGCTATCGGCAGTATGTGGAGCAGTCTTTTCGCGTTCACAACTGGTGTGACAACCTAGAATGTATGTATTAATAATGCGCCGAATTCACAAGCTGCCTACATCAACAAAGTGCATCTTCCAGTCTCGATATTGAACCAGCCAAAGAGACAAACTGCTGAAATGCCGGGATTGTTAATAACTATTAACAGTACATTTTGGAACCCGAAAGAAAGGAAAAATATGTAAATTTGAACTCCTACCGTAATACACCGTCGCGCAAAGTCGTTGCTTTGTGTGACCTCCGTCAGCAACTGCAAGAGCATGTCACACAGGAGAGAAGCCTTCTTCCAGCTCTTGGTATTGTCTATGTTTGAAAGTAACCAGCCGATTAAGGCGCCGGTGTGTAGCAGATTCTCATCCAGGTGGGAGAACAGAAGATCGTAGATGTAGGTCAGATGCACCTGCGCCTTGGCCTGATCTTGGGGACTTGAGGTGCAAGTAAACGAATATTCGTGTAAGGGGTACGGTTGTGGATGTGAGAAGAGAACATCGTAGATGTAGGTCCAACGCAGCTGCGCCTTGGCCTGGTCTTGGGGACTTGAGGTGCAAGTAAACGAATATTCATGTAAGGGGTACGGTTGTGGATGTGAGAAGAGCACATCGTAGATGTAGGTCAGATGCACCTGTGCCTTGGCCTGATAATAGGGGCTGTGATACACATAGTGGAAATGGGTCTAGGGTTTATGGTTTTAGGTTTTAGGTTTTAGAAAGAAAAGTCCGTGGATGTAGGTAAGATGCACATGTGCCTTTTGGCCTAGTAATGCAACAGTGAAAACGGGCTTTCGCTTTAGGGGTTCAGTGGTAACACGAATAGATCGTGGATAAAGTCAGGGTGAAGCTTCAACCCATGGTCTGGCCCTGCGCTCTGTAGTATAAAGGGCTACAATTGGACTTGAGGCGCTCTGTGGCATAAATAGGTACAGGGTTATATATATATATATATATATATATATATATATATGTGTGTGTGTGTGTGTGTGTGTGTGTGTGTGTGTGTGTGTGTGTGTGTGTGTGTGTAGT